GGGGCAGGGGCAGGGGCAGGGGCAGGGGCAGGGGCAGGGGCAGGGGCAGGGGCAGGGGCAGGGGCAGGGGGTGTCTCACTTGTGTATCTCAGGTTAGAGCCAGCCTGTTGAGGAGTTAGGCAAGGTGGTGGGGTGGGATGCAAGGCACTACTCTGCAATCCAGTAATGGCATTTATTGCAACAACAGAAAAGTGTTATAGAAAGTTATTACCTAGATGTGGGGATTACTCCTATTGTTAAAAATAAATTCAACATTGCAAAGAAAGAGATTAGTACTCCAAATGAGGTGTCTGGACAAGGCAAACTTTAGGTTTTACTGTGTGGGAGGATTAAAACATCTGCATAAAAGTATTACAAGATAGGAAAGATAAGAAAATTTTAATTCCTGTCTATAACACAAGTTTATAGTTTGATAATAGACTCATATTTGATATTTCTTAGACTATAATAAATCTAACCATGTGGGTTTTATGCCTTTGGACTACTTTGTAGAATAATTTGAAACTCTGAGCTATAAAAGACATTGAGTGATGTGCAGAGGCCATTCATATGCACACTTATAAGTCAATAATGCTGAGATAAATACAGACAGTGGAGGTTCAGCTTATCAAGCTTTAGATGGAAGCAAGTTATCTACAAGGATATGGGATAAGAGTTATTTATAATAATTGTTGGCTAAAAAGTTTAATGGTATTATGCCCATGTCCTGAGGACAAAAGGTTGGTTTGGTAGGAAAAACATGGTAGATTTTATATTTATTGAGGGAGGGCTGCTTATAATCAAAATGCAACCCAGGAAATTATGAAAGAATTTATATGTGAATAATTAGATATATGTTATTATATGTTACATGTTGCATATTATATTAATTATCTATTACATTTTACATATTATGCATTTCATACTACACGTTACATATTATATATTATAACTACATATCATATTTCATATATTATACATATGTGATTACACTAAGCAAATTTAAAGAATAATGCTTTATATTATGAATAGCTGTATCTTTGCATCTATCATTAAGAATTGCTACTGTGCTTTGACATTTAGTTATTTTTTTAAATGTCTATTTCTCAGTTATTTATCATTTGGAAAAAAGAAATAAGTCTACAGTATGAAATGGAAATCTATCAAATTCCCAGTGCAGGATGCCTTGAAGTCAGTGATGATGTTGAGCAATCACTATTGATACAAGCACTTTTTCTTTTGTTTCTTACTGAAAATGTGGAGGCTTCTGCTAAGTGTCACTTGTTGAGTTATCCTTACACATTAATTGACACCATGTTCTTTTTGACAATTGATGTTATTTATGAGAGCGTGAATTGGCATGACTCATGCAAGGGTGCTGGGGAGGGTAGAAAAGTGGCTGAGGACTAAGTTGCTAGAATTATAGTCTATTCCATTTTTGTCATATTTGTTTAAATGAGTGAAAAAGTGCATTCTAAGTGACAGACAGTATGAAAAAATTGTAGTTTCATGTTTTACTTGCCTTTTACTTGCCTGGATGCTATAGTTGGATGGGTTAGGAAGCAGTTCTCAGTAGGCATGAGGTTTGGAAGTTGCTATTCTCAGCAGGACTATCAGTTAACCACCTGTGCCTTTGATACTGTTTAGATAATGGTAAGTCCTCTGAACACATGACCTGGTGCATCAACTTGTTTCTGAAAAGCCACAGGGGCAGATACACTCTCCATGCAAAAGAAAAGGATATCTGTAAAAAAGGTAGTCTGTACTATCGTGTGTGTGTTTCACCAAATGTGATACATTTGTACAAGATAACAAATATACAGGAAATATATCTATATGGGGACCTATGGAAACAATCCTATCACAATTCTAGACAGGATTTATTTCTAAGGACAGAAGAAAATTTAGAAAATGTATCAGTAATGTGCAGTACCAAGTTTATATATTCATAAATGTAAGTAGATATTTAGTCAAAGAAATTATCTGATATTAATGGTATATAATCTGAATCCTATACAACTGAAGCAAAGATCCAGAAGCTGTGGTGGAGTGGATGTGAAATACCACAACATACTAGTGCCATGGACAGTGAACCTGGAGGAGTGTGGCTAAAACAAAGTCAAAACTAAAAGGCAAGACACATGGTGAGACGATATGATTCCATTCATCACTTAACTTAGACAAGGCATGAAAACCTAAAGGACATGTATTAAAGTGTCCTGAGTCTAGAGGCTTGTGGACATGAACCAAGACCTTCATAATATTAAAAGGATTTGCATGGCTATTTTGCAACTCTCATAGAGCTATCTACTGAAAATCATTTTAAGGCTCTCATTAAACTTGCCTCTGCTTTTACATGGCTCCTAAGCAGAGGCACCTTGCTAAGTGGAATCACCCCAATAGAATTAAAAAGAATACAGATGGATAAGTGGAATCACCCCAATAGAATTAAAAAGAATACAGCTGGATTCTGATCCACTGTGTCTGCTGGGCCATAGGAATGTGGAATGTGGTGAAAGTACTCACATTCCACAAAGTAAGAGCTGGCATCAATCTTCCAAATGATCTGGCCTCTGTGAGAACCATTGACTCCACGGTTCTTATAATCCAGAAAGTTTTCAGATGAGACCTCACCTATAATGCAGAAGGAACAAGGAGAAGCATAGAAGCACATTAACCAACAGTATATTTAGGTGCAGCAAAAAAAGAGCAAAGGATATGAATACTAATATCTGAAATCATATAGAGAGTTGAGACTATTCAAAGACACCATCAAACAGCGTTTTTTCCACCTAACACTTGGCAGATGAATTTTCTTAGTTCTTAAACATCTCAATACACAGGAAGTCATAATCACTGACAACTACTGCAATGACTCTTAAATTCTTTTAAAAAATGGTTCTTAGTTGTATGAAATATATGAGAGTCTTCTTAATATTTTTGACTTGATCTTCATTTGTGAATGAAGAGATTTAGAGATGTCTGATGGTGCTTCCACTCCACAGTTCAGAGTACAGCACTCTCTTGCGCTCTCTCTCTCTCTCTCTCTCTCTCTCTCTCTCTCTCATAGGCTCTATATCACTTTATGTCATCTCTTTTTCATCCTGGGACTCCTTACACCTTTTATTTTTAAAATGTCACCAAACAAGACCATGCAAGGTCATTTGCATACAGGTATATACAGGTATATAATTGTACTCATCTTGCTATTCTCTACTCCACTTGCATTAATTTTCTTCATTCTCCAGTTTGTTTCTATTTTACACACACACACACACACACACACACACACACACATTAGTTTAGGACCCACAACTGAAAGAAAACATGCAACATTTTTCTGTCTGAGACTGGCTTTATTTCTGAATTATGATGATCTCAAGTTTTGTGCAAAAGACATGACTTCATTCTTCTTAACAGATAAAAAAAATCTCTGTCTGTCTGTCCATTATCTATCTATCTATCTATCTATCTATCTATCTATCTATCTATCTATCATCTATCATATTTTCTTTCAAAATATATTTATTTTATTTTATGTACATTGGTGTTTTGACTGCATCAGTCTCTATGAGGGTGTCAGATCCCCTGGAGCAGAATTATAGACAGTTGGGTGCTATTGCTGATTGCAATGTGGGTGCTGAAAATTGAAACCAGGTCCTCTGGAAGAGCAACCAGTGCTCTTAACAGATGAGTCATCTTTCCAGGCCTGTATCATATTTTATGAATCCATTCTCCTGTTGTTAGACACTGAGGTTGGTTCTACAATTGTGCTATTGTTAATAAGGCTGTGACTAGTAAGCATTAATGTGAAAGTATCTCTGTGATAATTGACTTGAACTCCAAGATAATATATGTAGGTTATATAAAAGCTCTAGGTTCTTGAAGAAATTCTATACTGATTTCTACATGCCTAGAGTAGTTTATATTGCATGAGCAGGATATAAAGAGTTCCCTATAGTCTGCATTCTTGGCAATATTTGGTATTTGTTCTCTTTATGACTGCCATTCTGAATAGGCATGGTGTATTTACAGCAGAAGAAAGTAGTATTTGACTAGAGAAATCTAGAGGTCATATAATAACAAAATGCATCATAATTTGGCTCTGCTTGGCATTTCTCTGCCTTACTGATGTAGAACAGCACATTCCTGATGCTGTTCAAAATAACAACATGAACTCTACTTCCAGGAGAGGCAGCTTCATGTCTGTGGGAGGGCTACACTGCATCTCCTCATCTGGAAATGACAGGTCAGGCGAATAACCATCCCCACCATTACATTTATAGGTCTAAGTCTGTGACTTGAGCTTAGACAAGATACTACAAATCTAGAAGGTAAGTTTCCAACCACATACAAATTATAAGCTACTAAGATTCATAGATAAGTTTGGATTGAGAAACTATAATTGAAGTATGATGTTATTTAAAATGTCATTCAGCATTAAATAATATCACAGCTCTATGTATGTAGCTCTTATGACGATTACAAATTGTCAGATTATAAGTTTCTGAAATGATGAGTTATAGTCCTTTTGGCTCAGTCAAAATTGTCAATTTAAGACCAAATCTTATTCATTCCAAGTTTCATGAAACTCAATATGGCTAATGGTCTTTTCCTTGTCCTAACACTTGCCTTCTTTTCTCTATGGGGGTGAGTTTCTAGCTGCCTTACTTCTTTACCACTTCCCTCTTCCTCTGTATTTTCCTCCCCCTCTGTTAGGGACCTTCTAATGCTTTATTTTCCCCCACCCCGCACACAGAATCTGTGATTGACCTTCTATACTTGTAAGGTAACAAATACCACAATTTGACAAACTCTAGTGTGGTCTATATGCTTGAGCTTCAGAGGCAGAAGGTAGGAACTGACACACAGACCACAGGGTGATGCTGCTCAGCGACTTGTTCCCATGAGTTACTCAGATTGCTTTTTATATCACCCAGGATTACCTGCCAGGGCATGACACCACTCACAGTGGATTGTGGGTGACAATCATTAATCAAGGAAATACTCCACAAGTACACACCCAGAACAATCTGGAGAACACAATTCCTCAACTGAGATTTCTTCTTCCCAGGCCACTCTAGCTTGTGTCAAGTGGACTAAAACCGACCAGCTCATTTGTCCCTACTGTGGTTCACACTCAGTAAGTTTAATGTACTCATTATCCTCTCTAATACACTTGTTTTCTATTTTTTTCCTTAACTTGACAAAATGGCATTAATGTTCACAAACCGTGGGAAGATATTAGTGTAAAGAGTTGGTTTAAAGTTATGCACTTTTGTATGTGTACACACAACAAAAAAAATTCCTTCAAGTGATAAATCACATTCCTGGTTAAAGGTAGCCAGGAGAGGGATTGTGAAAAATCTGAAGGTTCAGACTAGTCCAAAGGGAGTAATGAATGCTTGCTTAAGCTTAAGCATTGGAGTCCTGTTGGCTTTACAGACTAAGTCTGCCCAAATGGGGTCTTTTGTCAAGACATCAAAAATAGGGTTTTAAAGTGAAATATCTAGATATTTAGTGTTGATAGTCAAATATACAACAAACACCATGGACTAAACATGTATGTCTGATGGGCTGCTGATGTTTCTCCATCTCTGTTTTAGGAAGATGTTATTTAATTTGAAAGCCTAATTTTAAGATCTATTAAATTTTTCTGGTCAGAAGTTGAATATATCTAGTAACTACTATTTGTGTAAAAACATCAACATGTATATTGCTTTATTTTTATTATACACACACACACACACATACACACACACACACACACACACACACACACAGTAATTACACTTAGCAGAGCTGTCAAGAAAATCAAATATTTTCCTATTTGTTTTCTGACTAATTAGTAAGACAAAATATTTTATCAGGAAAAATGAACCAGGTTATAAATTGCTCATAATGTACATTATTTTCTATAATAGTGAATAGTATTAAATCTAGTGTTGTGCACTGAAATGTGTGAAAGCAAACTGTATAGATGAGTAATTCTCAGTCTTCCTAATGCTGTTACTCTTTAATACAGTTCCTCATGTTGTGGTGATTTCCCCAACCATGAAGTTATTTTGTTGCTACTTCATAACTGTAATTTTGCTACTATTATGAATTGTAGTGTAAATGTCTGTGTTTTCTGATGGTCTTAGGTTATCCCTATGAAAGAGTCACTTAACCCCCAAAGGGGTTGCAGCCCACAGGTTGAGAAACACTATACTATAGTATAACCCAGCTTATTGTGCATTTTAATTACACTGTAGAGTGATAGATATCAAGAAAACTAGCTTCTCCAAGGGAAGAATACACTAATTGGTTGTTCAATATCAAATGATCAGCCCTCAAGTCATACTTATAAGTAATATTATATAGACGGAGAAGGTTGTATTCAGAAACACATATGCTATCTATATTATGCATGTATACACATTACATACGCATTTAGCAACAACAAAAACATGCCATGGATTTAGAAAAACAAGATAGGTACCTGGAGGAGTTTGGAGGGAAGAAATGGAAATTATGTAATTGTATTATTATTTCAAAAAATTAAAGTGAATTATGAATAGGATTTTTGTTGAACTAACAAACCATTCACATAAGACCTTCCTTTTCACAGCACACTGTCAGACTGTCCAGTTGAATCAGTAGCTCTAATGAGTAGAGTCATGGATGATAATGTACTCACCAATAAGGTACATGCCAATCCAATCTCCAGCATCCACTTCTTCCTTGATGTCCCAGTGGATTACCAAATCCTGGGAGTGCCCTATAGAATAGTAGGAACTGCTGACCATGAGTGTAGAGCGGCTGTCTGAAGTGACCAGGTCAGTGTCACTGGTGGAGCGAGGGATGGTGATGCCATCATGGGCACCATTTCTGATGTCTATGTTGTGGAATTGGTCTGGGTTATAGCTGTACCGGAGGGGCTCTTTGCACCGGCGTCGGCTCTGGGAGTTTCTAGATGGAGATGCCATGGCAGCCAGGCCTAAAAACCTGTTCTGGTACAGATTCTGTAGGAGAAAGGAGATATTGAACAGGGTTTTTGGAAAAAACAGTAACTCTGTTACATGCTGATAGATATCAAAAGATGTGTTGAGAGAAATAAACCGTGAGAAATCTGCCCTTCAGGAAGATGTGAAATAAGACATACTGCATTCTTTTCATGACAAGGGCCTTTCTCTGTGTTCACATAGGAACAAGAACAAAGACATAGGCACCTTTCTGTTCATGCCCTCCTGGAATCTTGCCTCCTCCAGCTGCCTTCAATCTAATTGGTTCTAGAAGGAGAAGACTATGAATAGAAGTCCTGTTCCCAAAGAAGGACTATTTTTTGAGTTTTCCAACATCTGTTCAGTTGGTTCCAATTCTATCCATTTTTAGGGTCAACTATGATTGTCTTCATAGAATATTGTAGTCATTCCCAATGCATTCAATCCCTCCATACAGTCAAGTTCCTGTTGGGTAAGGTAGTCATTATCCATCTTTTTTTTTTAACCCTTTGACTCTCTGGTATGTTTTTTTGGCCCTCTATAATGTCTATTAAAGATTTTGTAATTCTAGTAACTTTTGAACACCTCAGCTGTTGATTAGATCCAACCTCAGAAGACTATCTTCTTTGAACTAATGTTATCATAGAAAGCATCACAGTTGCTTTTGTTGTTGTTGTTATTGTTAATGTTTACAGCATTGAGTGGTTAAAATTAACTATAAGGAAGGTCACCATCACATAGAACTTGTGCAGGGATTCACTTTCAAAACGAGCAAGAGTGACTCTGACTTCATCGATTGGGTTAACATGAATATTTGGGGGATTTCACTTTTACATGTTCTTTCGACCAATAACACTTTTCACAAAAGAAAAAAGGCGCAGAAAAAGCACTGACTCATTCTATTTAGACTTCAGGCACTGTGCCTTTTTAAACATACTGATTAAGTGAGAGTTAATGATTTTTGTGTTCCAACCATAAGGACCAGACCTTACTGCCAGTCTACTCTTCAAATTATATGAGTCTTTTGTTTGCACACATTTAAGTGCACCAGTAATATCAACTAATATCATAGAAATTGAAAACTACATAGAATTAAATGAACAGTCAAATGTCTAATGATAAATTTAACCAACCATTACAGAGTGTGCGGTGCTGACTAGATTTCAAGTTGTGTTACCTCTTGACCACTCCTGGCTCTTATTAACTTCAACTACGAATGGGCTGTTGTCAGCACAGTAAAGGCTCAACAGATAGTAATATATTACAAAAATAAACTGTATCATTTCAGAATAAGAAGACCAGCGAGAATGCAGCATATGTGGGGCTAGTCATTTGGGCTATCCTATTGACCTGATGACCCTTCACATGGCCCCACCATACTAACAATTACATTCATTCTATATAGACCATAAAGTCATCCTGTTCATGACCCTCCAGAGTGCTATAGAGAATTAAAATTGCACGCATTGTCTGTGTAAATGCTCTGCTTATCAATTTTGAGAAGTAAGGCTCCTTTATAAGGTCTAATATCTAGTAGGATATTTTTATGTTAATGTTGAGGAAGCTGAGGACTTTACGGCTTTTTTATTTGTTTCCTTTCTAATAACTTTCTTCAAGTGTGTGTACATGTATGTATATGTATTGTATGCACATGCATGTTTATTTATATTTATATGTAAGTTGGTGCATTTATGAACAGGTGTGCGCTAACATGTATATGTTCAGATGTGGACGCCTAGTGCTTGTGTTGGTAATCTTTGTGTATTGCTTTTCCATTTTATTCATATCAGGGTCTATCAGTCAAATTCAGAGCTTGCCAATTTGGCCAGTTTTCTCCAGAGATTGCCTATGTTTGCCCTTAGAGGTTAGAATTATAAGCAAACCATGTTAGGAGGGTTCTGAGAATCTGAACTCTGGTCCTCTTTCTTGAATCTCAAGCACTTTAATGGCTGAGAAATCTCTTCAGACCAGAGAAAGTGTGTGTGCATATGTGCGTGCATGTGTGTGTGTGTGTGTGTGTGTGTGTTTACTCTGAGAAAGTAGGAGTCAGTCATGTCTCTTACAGGCAGAGTGATTAGGAAAGGGGCCGCAGATAATTAAAATGGCAAACTTCTGTCTTTTTCCCCCTCCTGACTTAAAACAAAGACTTAATGGGCTTCTTTCTATTGCTAGAAGTGCTGTCCTTAGGCTGATCGCCAAGGCTGGTCAGATATGTTCTAGGCCTGTTCTGAGCATGTCTACTTGAAACTGTGTGCTATCAGCTCCCCTTTCTTTATTTACATGGATCAATCCAAAATAAAGAGAGGAGGCTCCATCACAAGCCACCACAATCATCAAAAATCTGCAGCGCTCCTGTGGAAAAGTAAATTTCAGTTTCAAGCCCTTTTCTACTCTGCTAAGAGTCTTTCTCTATATGACTTGTGGTGTGCATGTATGTGTGTGTGCATGTGTGTGTGTTCATTTGTTACAAAGTTTTTTAATGTTGTTGTCTGACGTGTAAGATTTTCCTGCCTTGTCATATTTTAATTGGCAGAAAAATAAACAATATCCCTAGATGGTAATTTTCATATAAATTTCAAGTAGGCCCTCAAAAGATTTTAAAGTGTTTCTCTTTTGTTCAGATGTAAATTCTGCTGCTATTGTTTTATAGATTTCCCCCAAAGAATAAATATTTCTCTTGAAATTGTCAAATTACACCAGTAATAATGGTTCACATGGTGAGAACAAAGACATAGATGGAAACATTGATGAAATAAGATGTTTGCTGGTTAATACTGAATGGTAATATGGCATTTCCCTGTGATAATAACAACAACCTAAATATGGTTCTAAAGGCTATATTCTGCTACCCAGGTTTCTCCATCATCCAATGAAGATTTAATGAAATATATGGCAATCCAACAGTGTTATAAACACAGTAATGTAAATGTAGTTTTGATTCATTTACTCTGCAGGCAGGACTCATGCCCAGTACTCTTAGTTGGACCAAAAGTCCAAGGTTTAATAAATCAAGAGTTTACTACTATTATCCAGCTACATGTATATAGAATTAAACTGTACCCTAAATATATATCTTTATACTTATAGACAAATATAGCTCTTGGCTGTCTGTCATCAGAGAAATACCTTTTTGCAGCAGATGGCAATTAATACAGACACAGTCTGTCAAAGTGCAGAGAATAAGATATTTCAGAGTCATCAGCAGTCAATGGACATCTCTCTCACACCTCCCACTAAAGCCTGAGAACTAGTAGATGGGGTAGAAAGAGACAACAGAAGACTTTCATAAAATAATGTATTCTGGTTATAAAAAGGATATTGTACAAATGAATCCACAGAGATTATGATTACATGCACAAGACTTGTATGACATCAAGAGAACTAAAATTTTGACTTGGGTAGAGAAGAACCCAAAAGTCCCATTTCTACCTGAGGAGTTATTGGAAATTGCTGACAGCTAGGGAAAGAAGACTTAGGCTTTTACAGACCTTGAAAGGCATTATAAAGACCTTGAAAGACTCTTATATTCCTGTGGGTGGTCTTATGTTATGTACATGGTAACAACTCTGATTAGATTCAGTCAGTTTAATAAAGAAGTCATGAAAGAATATGGGTACAGGAGAGAGGGAGTCAGTGTTAGATTTCATCAGAGTATTCATGCATAAAATGCAAAAAAATAATTTTAACTAAAAATTGTTCATTAGATAACAAATAAATTTAAACAATAAAAACAACTTAAAGGGGAAAAGTCTTTTTATTTTCTTACAGTTCCAGAAATATTACTGGCAGGGAAGACATTGCAGCAGGAACAGGAAGCACTTGGACACATTGCACCTTTACTCTAGAAGCATAAAGCAATGACTATGTGCTTCAGCTCAGCTACTTTTCTCTACTTGACACAAGGTAGGGTCGCAACCCTCGAACACATGGGCATAGGGGGAAAGGTCCTGAACAGAACACTAATGGTTTATGCTCTAAGATCAACAATTAACAAATGGGACCTCATAAAATAGCAAAGCTTCTGTAAGGCAAAGGATACTGACAATAGAACAAAACCCACAGATTGGGAAAAGATCTTTACTAATCCTATATCTGATAGACGGCTAATAGCCAATGTATACAAACAACTCAAGAAATTAGACTCCAGAGAACCAAATAACCCTATTTAAGAAATAGAATACAGAGATAAATAAAAAAATTTTCAGCTGAAGAATATTGAATGGCTGAGAAGCACCTAAAGAAATGTTCAACATCCTTAGTGATCAGGGAAATGAAAATCAAAACAACTCTGAGATTCCACCTCACACCAGTCAGAATGGTTAAGATCAAAAACTCAGGTGATGGCAGATGCTGGCAATGTGGAGAAAGAGAAACATTCCTCCATTGTTGGTGAGACTGCAAGCTGGTACAACCGCTCTGGAAGTCAATCTGGTGGTTTCTCAGAAAATTACCTGAGGACCCAGCTATACCACTCCTGGGCATATACCCAAAAGATGCTCTAACATATAACAAGAACACATGCTCCACTGTGTTCATAGCAGCCTTATTTATAATAGCCAGAAGTTGGAAAGAATCCAGATGTCCTTCAACTGAGGAATGGATACAGAGAATGTGGTACATTTACACAATGGAGTACTACTCAGCTATTAAAAAGAATGATTTCATGAAATTCTTAGTCAAATGGATGGATCTAGAAAATATCATCCTGAGTGAGGTAACCCGATCACAAAAGAACACACATAGGATGTACTCACTGATAAGTGGATATTAGCCCAATAGCTCAGAATACCCAAGATAGCAATTCACAGACTACATGAAGGTCAAGAAGGAAGACCAAAGTGTGGGCTCTTCGCTACTGCTTAGAAGGGGGAACAAAATACTCACAGGAGCAAATATGGAGACAAAATGTGGAGCAGAGACTGAAGGAAAGGCCATCCAGAGACTGCCCCACCTGGGGATCCATCCCACATACAGTCACCAAATCCAGACACTATTGTGGATATCAAGAAGTGCAT